CAAGACTTTTTGGTACTATTTATAGCATGAATCGAGTAAGAAGAGAATAAGGATAAGAAGAAATTTCTTCATCAGAATTCACTCCACAGGGCAGAAAAACACGTCATTTTCAATATTAAAGAGTTTTGGTCAAGCAATTTTATGAAATCCAATTATTTCACTTTCCTTACTTTACCCACCCTCCTACCTCTTTAAAAGACAGTGATCTAGGACTTTCTGATACTATCACAGTTAGCTTTTTGGACTCCTACAGGCAGATATTGCACTATTATGTTGACTTTTTGGTGACTTTTTCAGAGCCTTTTCTCTGACTTCTCGTCGACTTCTCCTTGGATTCAATTGACTTTCCTGCCTCTTTTTGACTTTTTATTTGCCTTTTTTTTTGCCTTTTTTGACATTACAAATGGCTTTTTTACTTTGGGTATCTTCACTTTTTTCTTGACTTTTTTAATCGCGTTCATCAACTTTTAATAGTGGTGTACCCCTCGAAATGGTCTCACCCGCTCGGGGCTGACTTTGACGTTTCAAAGACTGTCTAATCGCATATTGACAAACAACAATCATTTTGACAAAATAATACTCATTTTAGTGTTTGCTGTCCCAAAATATACGTGTTGAGGATCTTTAGTGACATTTAGAGCGGGAAAGAGCCATCAAAACTCTCATCATTCCGGGCCCGCACGCACGCACACAGGTGCGCGTCTCAACAGATGTAATTGGTGTTTATGACAGTCAAGGTGAAGACTTACGGCCACTGGGCACTCAATCAATCAGCACAAAACTTTTGTGGTAACATGGGGCGTTCGCTATGTTTTATTTGGTTCCGAAGCGGTCCGTGTCTGAACTAAAAACTTCAGGCACACCACGATTGACGACTAATGTTGACTGCAGACGTTTCCGTAAACCTTCCATAAGTTTGGACCGTCCCGATCATGGTATAAGCCCTGAAAATCTTGTAAAAATCCGAAAACAGAAATACATGGAATGGTGCACAATTTGGAGTTACGGAACCGTTGAAATGTTTGACAGCGTTCAAGCGTGGCTAGGCACACAACCCTTTGTATGTAGAGTCCCTCTTGGTGCCCTTGGGGCACTTCGACGCTGGAGCGCCGCCCTCGTACACGACCTCGCCTACGACATTACCGCTGGGCTTGTAGTTGCAAACCACTAGCTGAGTGTCAGGCTTGTTTCCCGAGCCGGCTCTGTAGGTGGAGTAGCCGCAACCCACGGCGTACGTCTTGGCCCAGGCGAGTTGAGTATAGTGACCCACGTCCATGAAAGTCCCATCCGCCCTGCGAGAAAAAAGGTCAGAATAAAAAGGAAGTACATTTGTTCTCGAAAGAAATCAGTCCCAACCCAACATAGAAGCTGAAAAGAAACCTAAATTATTAGTTTCCCACATGTTTCTTCATTTAGATTTACGGGAATGGCTTGTGACTGCTAACAGAAGATATAGTTGGCATTGGACACCTTTCCTCAGTTGTGGACTCACTTGAACGGTTTGGTGTTCTGTGAGCCGTCGCGAGCTGCCACTTCATCGTACCACATCTTTACGGCCGTCTTCCAGTCGGGAGTGACCTGCCCGGGAGCAATGCCACCAGACAGAAGGCACTGTCCCGCGACAGTGCCGTCACCTGGAGAGAGAACAACTCTGCATTATGCATGAAGAACCAGCGAGAGCACCAGTGTGCTGCACAGAGCACCGATAACGTTCCTTAAGTGTGACTAAAAATAAAGGATTCATCCCTTCAAAAGGGCCCTCAAAGTTTTATTTTATTTTTATATCGACTGTCTAAATATTTCTAACCCTTGTAGGCATGCAAAGCGTGGTAAGCCGCACGAGTCAGCCGGCGTGAGGGTGACTTTCGCCTTCGTATTTTTTTGTATTTTCTTAACCGCCCACGGACAACCGTAGAGCAACTCACAAGAGTGTTTGGTTTTGTAGCACTCATGATAAATAATTTTAACCTTCGATGGAGTATAATGAATAATACTTACGCGTGTTCATGCAGGTGCTGTGCTCGAAAGTGCACTGATCAGCCCATCGCTGAGCAATTGTCGCCAATTCGTTATCCCAAGACTGTAAAAACCATCAAGTTGGAAAACCACTTTATTTCGAATCTGCCAATTTCAAACGATGTTTCACTGTTATTTGTTTGAATTGTCAATGCAGAGATCGTTTTAATACACGGTTACAAAGAAAAACTTTAGTTAACCACAGCGAGATAGATCCATACTGTATTTTATTTTAAGGTCGTATAGTGAATAATTGTACAGGCCGGACATTATTATTTATTTTTACGGTTCGACCGTATTTGTTTTTTCGGTCTTCACGTTCTTTTTATGTGGTCTGAGCTCTTACTGTTCTGGACTGTGATTATTTAATTTTATACGGTCTGACAAGTTACAGTTCTAGACTATATATAAGAGTACGGTCGGACTGAATTCTTTTTTTACGGCCAGATCTGTTACAGTCCGGGTAGCTTCTGGGCAACGTCAGTAAAACAGTCCTCCTAGATACCTCAATTTGAAAATGACTCAGCGTAACGATCCGCCCACTCTGTGTACTTTACAGTCAAGACCGTAATTCAAATACGGCCCTGACTGTGGTGGGACGGACCGTACAATTAGATACAGTCCGACAGTAATCTGAAATACGGTTCGAACTTTGTCAGACCACGCTGTAAAATTAAATACGTTCCGAACCGTAAAAAATTAAAACGGTCCGACCGTAAAATCAAACACAGTCAAGACCTGGCAACAAATTATTGGCCGTCTTGTATAAATAACTGTTGGGTTTCTTTGAACAATGTTATGGTATCTTTAACGTACCATTTTTCTCATGTTGGAGGCCGAGGGTTGGGGGTTACCCTTGCCACGCGTCTCCTTGCCGAGTGCTACTTTGTTTCTGTACTCGTTGTGCAGCCTCACGATGAGCGCCTTGTCGCTACTCGATACACGCGGAGCTACATAGTTCTTGCAAGCTGCGCCAGGTTTCGCCGTATACTTGCACATTGGGTGCTCCTTGCAGATTTTACAGTAAGGGTTCGCTGCTGCGGCTACACTAGGGCTGTGCGATATCACGATATTTCGATATCGATACGATATTGTTCGATATCGAGACGTCGATATTCTCCCGATATCGATATCGAAATATCGAGGATGCTCGATACGGCAATATATCGCGATATCGAAATATCGAGGTTGCTCGATACTACGATATATCGCGATATATCGGCCATTTTAAGACACATCGTTCCTCAATATGGTTCGATATTGCGATATCACTCGATATTATCGAGACTCGATGCATCGAGTCGATGTCGATACTTGGTCGATATCGTATCGCGATATCACAATCTAGATATCGCACAGCCCTAGGCTACACATGCCAGCAGAGGCAGCAGAACTAGTAGTTGGCGCAACATCGTGTGTTTCGGACGAGTTCTAGGCCTCCTGTGAGGGTAACTCCATCTTTTATAGCTAGCAGCTCACACTCGCTCAGTTTGCACGCCACGACAGAGTGTGGCAGTGAACAGTGGCCATAGCGGCATTTTACGACTTCAGAAGCGACAATGAAATGTCTACGATTCAACAAAGGTCTAGTAGTATGAGACATCACAGAGAATCCTAATTATATTGCGTACTGCGAATATTTCTATTGTTTCTCTTATTTTACTCGCTTTTAACACCTCACTACCTCAACCCTGCATCCTACTTTCCATCTTTTCCATAATTTTTAATCCTTAAGCTTCATCGGAATACCAGACTAGCCTGGGGTTAAGTATACTTTAGCACTTACATAATGTTACAAAAGTTCCATCATCAAATGAATTTACACTTCCTCAACCCAATAAAGCAGGTTTTATGACCCATTTAGTGTCACAGAGGCCACGACGTTGTACATTTTTTTAATATTCCCGACCAACGATAAAAGACTGCACTGACGCATTGAACTACACTGAAATGTGAAGGTCTACTTACATGCGGCAACGTAAAGGTGCCCCCACAATTAAACAGGAGCCATGGGCCACGAGCCATAAGCCTCAGACCATCTTTCCTAAAACCGCCCAAATTCACGTAGTTTTTAACGCGAATTTCAAAAGTAAATTAGCCAACTGCAAGTGCGAATGCGTAAGGCCAAAAGAGAAAGGCCCCAGGTTCCGCGGGGGAGAGCCGTGGGTGATGGACCATGGCTCATGGCTCACGGCCCCCGTTCATTGTGGGGGCACCTTAAGGCAGGGGGTCGCAACGCAGTGCTGAGAGCGCGGCCTATGCGCGAGCCCCGGAAGTCGCTGCCCGGACGGCGCGAACCGGCCGTTCAAACCAACGCTCAGTGCTCCTCACTGCAGATTAGCTACGTTTAAAGTACTTTGCCATACAAGAATCGTTAAGGAAAGTTTTCAATACGTTGCTGCAGGTCACAAGGAGCTGGAATATAACAAGACCTCACCTATTTCGCGTCTTTTATCTTGTTAATGAACAAAACTATTTGCGAGCGCCGAGGAGACCCTGTCGCACTGGTCCAATACTTTCAATATTTCAGACAAAATAATGCCCGACCCACATCAGACCTTCGATAAAAAGGTAAGAGACACATTGGCGAAGTGCTTTATAGGTATTTGTTGTCGAACCGGCACCTCCTAAACTAAAAATAACGATTATAAAGCCGAGCCTACCGATCGCCCCTTAACCC